GTTCGACTGTAATCAAGTAAGTTCTCAGGTAGCTGCAACCGAATTAAATCACTGAATCGCTAAATATCAGTTTATATACTCGCTCATTGCATTGAAAATAATTATGTATTTTCGTTTTCCACCAATTTTACGATCATCTAGAAAAAAATATTCTAATCAAAAACTTTTTCACTTATGCTAGTTTATAACCATAGATTAAAGAAAGACATCTTATTATTTTGGATGTTGTTCACTAATTATTAAATTGTTCCTCTAGATTTGGCGAAAAATCTATATCCAAATCGACGGTTTTATTGGAGCTGGGCCTCAATTTTGTCCCCTCCTTGGTCTCGGCAAATAGATTAGTCTTACATCATGGTACCAGTAAACATGATTTCCATCATGTCTTTTCCTTGATTCTTGCTCATTAAACTGCTCTAACCTAATCGTTCTTTTCGTCATTTTAAATGTAAACTAGGCCTGCAAACTATCTAATTAATCAATTAACTTTGACACAAGATTTTACTCGACAATTTTTCGCTTTTATATCATACGCTTTAGTTTGCTAAGTCTTACTCAGGGAAGTCAGAACAAGTGGGCATATACCGCCATAAAACTATTGGACTCATTTGATATTTTGCATAGGTTTAAATAATTTTAGTACGCTTATTTTAACTCCCCGTTAAATCTATCTCTATCTCTCTTAATTTCTTTACATTTTCTCATGTTTTTTTACAATAAAATCGCTCTTAGCTGGAAAAAAGTCTACTGAAGTGCATAGTCGCCTTCACGGCCAGATCAGATTTTTTTATAAGAGTTATTTTGACATTTCAAGTCGATGTTGCCATTACACAGGAGTAAAATAACAATTTTTAAATTAATTTATCCTCAATACCTATTTATCAATGCTGCAATGTGCAAACCTGTGATTAAGCTTGTAGCAACCTTGTGGCGCAACCATCAGGATCAAAATATTCTATGAATTACTAACAACGCATTCTGGTCTGTGCATATTCAACTATCTATCCTTTATCACATGTGATCTGGGATGACCAGGGTTCGTTCAGAACTTATTGATAATCTCGAAATCTACCTCTTATGAATATACTTATGCATGTAATACATATTTAATTATGTGCCCTTGCATGTAACCGGTTGAATGCCTCCTGATCAGTATCGGACAAAAAAAAGAAGTTAGTACCACCGCTTACCTAGAGGATTATGTCGGCTTTGCTTTAGATAGTGTCTTTAAAGAATATAGGTTATAAGTATGAAGGACTCTTGATAATGCTGTTAACTATTGTCAAGAAGAATTTAAGTTAAATTTGATCGTCATTACTAGTTTCATTAATGTTGGGTTGATTTCTCACTTTCTAGGTGCTCTATGCGCTGTCCCGCATCCGTGCGATGCTACATACTGCCGGTGAGCTCTTTGTCGACTGTTTGGCCGCATGCCCTACATCTAACCTGTCCGTTAAGGCCGCACCGCCCACTTCCTGTCATGGCTTTTCGACTTTACGGCCAGTCCGTCATCTGGTTGACATACCTTTTGCCCCTTCATCCGCCCCAACGGCTCCAGAGTCCCGATTGTTCGGTTTGTCTTTAATAGACTTGTTAGCACGGCACCTTCGTGCTCTTTTGGGAGGCAACTTTTATCAGCCTCCTACGCCGACCGAGCTACAGCTTGCTGCATGGGAGCAGCCTAGCCTACTAGATGTTGTACTCACCATTTGCGCCCAGGCCATCTCCAGTATATTTCCAATTGTCGGGCCCAAATATAAGAGATCTGAACCTACAAAGTTGCGAGTGACCAGAGGCACTGTGCTAGCAGAAGATATGATCTGTCTTGCTGCAACTCCTGGTGAAATCAGGGCAAACAAGTGTCTACAGATTGTGGCGGCCGAAGTGCTTGAGGAGATCATCAAGGTGAGGTGCCCAGTTTGTATTTTTATTATTCTGCCTAATTTTAGTCGAATTTTTAGATAGCCTTACAACATGAAGACACTTCAATTGCAATTGTGGCTCTCTAGTTCTCCGTTAATTTCGTTGACCAACAAGCATGCTATAATTTAGAATATTTTCTTTTACTTCTGGACCCTGGGACCCTGCTTCTGCAGATTAGTTCAGGATGATATCGTATGTTCAGGAAGCAGAAGACTGCTCTATATGCCTGGAAGGCTATTTTTATGTACGACTACCATAAGCGTCTGCTAAAATTTGGATTTCGCTTGGTCATGGTTACAATTTACTTTTTTTTATATTTGTGATTACAAAGTTTACTATTTATATATATTGCGATTTTGGGAGATCTGATTGTAAAAACTAATTATGAAATTTTTAAATCCCTACATTCTTTATGATCCTGTTTTTATTTTTTCGTCCTTCAAATTCCTAGATTCTTATTCACTCTCGAAGCAGGCAGCTCGGCTCTTTGGCTACCAGCCTGGTATTTCGAGCTAAACTTTCACAGTCACTGTCAATCACCTGGCAACAGGTCTATTCCTACTGGGCCAGCTTCATTACAAATGAAAGTTCGAATCCTAGCGCAGGTATGGACTTTTCTTATCCGTCTCGCTACGGTGGCATGCTGACCACTTTAGGCTCGAATGCCACTGCCTCCACTTTCGGAAATAGTGGTGAGGAACGCTGTCATGAGGACTTTAATGCTTTATTTCAGGCATATTCGAGTTGCCTACCACTGTCTCTACTTTCCGGTAGTTTACTCTCTACGGTGCTGCACTGCTTGGCCTGCAGTCTTGAGCTGGTTTACTGGCCCACGACACTTGACTTCGGTCATGACGAGATGATAGAGCTTCAAAATCAAGAAGCTCGGTAAGTCTTGAAGGTGCCTCCACTTAAATATATTTTCTTTGTGATATAAGTCAGAATGAATGGTCACGCATTATATTCTACGATGAAAAAGCCGTTTTTGTTTTATAGTGATACTTTTGAGATCAAAGCTTTCTCAGGATACCATTTCTCATAAGCTCTTGGATACTGTTGCCCCAAAATCCTATTCAAAGTTAACTTGTCCTTATTGCCGTGTACCGAGGACAAGCATGCAAAATTGTCACGTTTGAAGTATAAGTTAGGGGAAATTAATTCATAGGTATTTCAACTTGGATTTCCTTAAACTACTAGTTCATGTTTGGCTTTCCTTGAGTTTATAATTTTTATAATTAGTCTTTAAAGTTGCTAAATAATTTATAAACCTCCTTAGAAATTATTGGGAATTTTTCATTGTTAGGGATTGGCCTCCTAATATTTTTACCTCTCTATTCTCCTTACATACCCCAGAAATCTTCCCACGTGCCTTCGACTTCTGCTGAACACTGAGGCATCTCCTGGTTTGCCGGTTGAATTCCGAGATACACAATTCCTCCTTTTGCTTAGGTTGACATCCACTATCCTCGAACTATGTCCTTTTTTCCCTACGCTAGTGCCAACAACGACGGCACAAGTTGCTCGCAGCCCTTCATTTGGCTCACAATCTTTAGCCCAGCAACAGCATCAACAACCTAGTGATGCAACTCCTTCCTGCTGGCCTTGGTTTCGGCTCACGATACATGATGATTCTGCTCCCGGCCAAATCCGTCTTCTTCCCGCGCATCCAGCTCATTTGTCAAGGACCACCTCCTCAACGTGCATCCAAAGTTCTTGCAGCTCAGACACCAATTCTCCAACCCAGTTGATATACCGGCTGCCTGGCTACTTGCGTCAAAATTCTCACATGCTTGATCTGCTTATGTGCTCCGGATCAGGCCTAACCCAGCACCAAGGGATTGGGTGTCAGTCGCTGCTAATGGCTTCACTCGCATTAGGTCTCTATATTCCGTCCAAAATTGTATCGTCTGAAGAGACACCTTCAAAAGCGATCCGACGTCCCGAGTCACACTGTAGTTCCATGAGCCCCCGATTAAGACTCGATCTTCATCCAGCTTGGTTTGACTTTGTGCTTTCAAGCTGCGCCTTCTGGGATTCTGCGCGACCTCGATTGGTTGCTATCTGTGTGCACCAGATATGCACCAGTCTCTCTATTCTTGCTAAGCACGCACTTGCCCCGGAGGCTGAACGTTTACCAAGGTAGTTGCTCCTTCGTTTCTCATCGTTGTTCTCCATCTCACCCACTTTATATTATATTTATATTTAAAGCGGATACGACTTCTAGTCAAAGCTTGCTGATAGTTTCAAGTCCTACTAAATATTAATATAATTAAGGCCAAACTCTTT